GGGTGCTGTGTGTACATTAATGAGGAAAAAAAAATTAACTTAAATGATTTTAGCAAATGGCTGCAATATAACAAAGAGTGAAAAATTTAAGGGGGTCTGAATACTTTCCGTACCCACTGTATATATATATATATTAGCAACAGAGGTTTGATTAGCATGCTGTGCTTTAGCTGCTAGAAATATATATATATATATATTCTAATATATTCATAGATATTTTAATATATTTTAGCATGCTGTGCTTTTTATTTAAAACATTATGAATAAGTAAACAAACAAACAAACAAAAAACATAAATTTCACTTAATTTATATTCCATATTAATTTGTTTTCCTACACCGCAACAGCAGAAGATCGAGTGCTGACCAGCAAACCATTCTAAAGAAAAAAAAAAATTTATTACAGTTGTTTACAGCATCATTAGTTCATTTGGATTATGGACTGATCGTGTGCCACAACAGCCACAGCCTTAGAGGAGAGAGCTTTGCAGTCATTCCTGCATTCTGAAATACATTCTGCATATCAGGCTCATTTCATAGCACATTCTCTTACTAATTTGGTCACTAACACCTTAAACTTGTGCCTGGTTCAGTGGGTTTGGGCTAACTGTTTTGTTTATGAGGCTTTGAGCCATTTGAGCTGTCCATCTGCTAATGTGAGTTTTCATACATCTGTCTGTCTGCTGCTGTGCCTCATGTCCCTGCTGCTCACCACTATTATTCTCAACCAAAAACTCATACAGACCTGGACGATGATATACTCACATCTGTCTGATCCACAGGTGGACGGGTGAAGACGTGGAAGAGGAGATGGTTCATATTGACGGACAACTGTCTGTATTATTTTGAATACACCACTGTACGTGAATCTGCTTTATTGAAGTTGCATGATTGAATGATCCAATGCAAATATAACTCATCCGCTGTGTTTTACTGCGGTCACATGTGCTTCCTCTTCTGCATCTGTTTCCAGGATAAAGAGCCGAGAGGGATCATTCCTCTGGAAAATCTCAGTATTAGGGAAGTGGATGACTCCAAGAAGCCAGTAAGCTTTTTCTCACTTTTCCATCTTTTTGCTCTCACATTTAAGTTCATTTGTGGTAAGGGAGTCATTATGGTTGAGTATTTGATTATGTATTTAGTTACTTAGTTTGGTTTTATCCTCACTTTTAAGTTTTTATTATTTTATTGTTGCTGTTGTTGTTATTCATTTTAATATTTTAATATTTCTTTTAGCAACAGTGGTTTGATTAGCATGCTGTTTTTATTTTTTTAATAATTTTTAAAATATTTTTTTATTTTTATATTCTTTATATTTCATATTTTTGTAGTTTTTTTTTAATGTAATTATTTATTTATTTATTTAATTTGTTTAAGAATTTTTTTTAATGGATTTTTAGCAACAGTGGTTTGATTAGCGTGTTGTGCATTTATTTTTTTCAATATTGTCATGTTTTCAATTTTAATTTATTACTTATATAGTTTTGTTTTATCCTTGTTTTATTCAATTAAATTATATTTTGCTTTATATTATTTAAGTTTTATTCTCAATTTCAAGTTTTATTATTATTGTTATTATTATTATTAAATGTATTCATTGTTTTAATACGTTTCTTGCAACAGTGGTTTGATTAGTCCTAGATTAGCATGTTGTGCTTTTATTATTTTTAATTTTAATGTTTAATTATTTTAAATATTTTTTATTTAATGTTTTAAATATATTTATATTTATATCATATTTTTGTTTTATCCTCCCTTTTAGGTTATTATTAGTTAATAATTAGTTAATGATTATTGCGTATATAATTAATTAATTATTATTATGTTATATTATTGTAATATTGTTATTATTATTACATTATTATTTTTTAGCAACAGTGGTTTGATAAGCATTGTGCTTTTATTTATTAATTAATTTTTTTAGATTTTATTTTAGATTTTTTAAAATATTTTTCTTTAAGTTAATAACAACAACGATAATAATATTTTAATTGTTACTTTTTTCATCCTAGCAACCCCTTGTGGGCCCCTGGACCCCTGTCTTAGTCAACTAGTTGTTCAGACAATGTACTAGATCATTTTGAAAGTATGAATGTTTGAAAATATGCATGTTTTACTTCGTGCTTTGAGTGGTGGTAATTAACACAAAGGTTACGTGTTGCTAAAATCTCTCTCATACACTGCCGTCATTGTTCTCGTTACCTCAGTTTGCTCCAGTGAAATATCCTTGTGATTAATGTACTGAAAGTTTCTCTAGATAAAAGCCTCTTCTAAAGTAGCTCTCTTTACACAGAACTGCTTTGAACTCTTCATCCCAGACAACAAGGATCAGGTCATCAAAGCGTGTAAGACTGAAGCAGATGGACGGGTTGTGGAAGGAAACCATACGTTCTACCGCATCTCAGCACCAACAACAGAGGAGAAGGAGGAGTGGATCAACAGCATCAAGTAAGTCTTCCTCTCATTTTGGCGTGACAGAATATTTAATTAGTGGTCGATCCATATTGTTTTTTTGACAGCCGATGCCGATATCTTGAGCCCGATTCGGATGGTAATTGTTTCTCATGTGGACGTCTAAAAATAAATTTACATTTCACCTCAGTGATAAAACTCACTGATTCGGATGGCGATTTATTCACAGTGGAGGAGTGAGTTCTGTGATCCTATGAACCTGGGAACGCGCTGCTCACGTGGCCAGTCACATGATTGTCTGCTGTAAATAAAATTAATTTTATGAACAAATTTATTCTTTTTATTGTGTAAAATGTATAAAAAATACTTGTACTTGTATATGTAAGAGGCAGCATGTTCATGCTTTTTGCAGCTTATGATTGGTTGTTGATGTTGGCTGGCCTTTTTTTTAGTGGTCGACCGATATTGTTTTTTTGACTGCCGATATCTTGGAAAGCAGGATGGCCGATATAAAGCCGATATAATTTTATTTATTTTAATTAATATTTAAGAAATTTGAAATCATTTGAAAATAGATTAAAAAAATTGTGTAAAATAAACATGTTTATACTTTAAATGACAAAGTGTTTTTCAGAAATAAACAAATATTTAATAAAAATATAATTGAAAAGGAAGTAAACACTGTAACTAACAGGGCACTCAGTATTCTGGGAAGTTTGTGTGCATTGGGAATCACATTTTTTCAAATAAAGCTCATTTTACATACAGCACACAGTGAAAATGACATGAATATGACAATGGGCAAAAGCATGAAGCGCAGCATAATTTGAAATCATGAGTTTAAAGTTAGTCGATCGCGTGTCTCCAGTGAAGCTGAACTCTCCACCTGTCCGCATTCAATTGGCACG